TGAGCTTTATCTGACTGAGCGTAGTGAGTCAGACACATCCCCAACCAATCCCATCTCTGAGCAATCATCCTCAACAGCTGTTGCAAAATAAAAGAAAGAAAGAAAGATCGGTCAATCTGAGGTGCCTGTCCAGAACTCTTATAGTGCTCTGGGCAAACAAGTACCTCCGTCATCACAGAATTCTGTGAGGAGTTCTTCATCATTACGTTCGCGTCAGAGATTACCCAGAGATCAAGATTCATTACCTAATGTAGCTTAATGGAATTGCAGAGTACATAGCATCATGCATGGTGTTGTATCTCTATAGAAACATAAAGAAAAGGGATGCAGTTATTGGAAGTTTAATACGTCACTATTAAGACATGAGGAATATATAGTACTAGTTACCGACGTATTAAATGATACTAAGCATGAATAGCAGACCCTAAATAACGGTGAAGTGAATAAGACTAATGATGAAGACATACTTTTAATTGTCAATAACACGTTTTTCTTAGAAACCTTCTTAATGAAAGTTGAAGGCAAATCCATTTCTTATTCCTCATATAAAGAAAAATAAGAACGAAAAATGTTGGAACCAAACATATGTATTTTGGAAGATGAATTAAGAAAATATTTCGATGTTGATGAAACACTTCTTGCAAATCTTTCTAAAAATACAATAGAACTTGAAAAAATGAAAGAAGAAGACATGAAAGGAATGCAAATTCGAAATAGAATACAATGGTATGAAGAAGGACAGAAACCAAAAAAAATGTTTTTGCCAATAAGAGAATACAAACTACACAAATAAACTTATCAACTCTGTCATTATAGATAATGGTCAAGAAATATCGGATAGAAAAATAATAATCTATGAACAAAAAGGATTTTACGATGTGTATGAAATTGAAAATTATATTTCTTCGAAAAATATCAACGTGGATTCATTTAATAGAAAATGGTATGTAATATCACCAACATTGTCACTGTTATGACTTTATCTTCCGATGATACAGTACTTGCATTTCATTGTGATTTAACGATCTTGCATTCAGTCTACTATTCCCAGCACATAATGTAATTAAATATATGTAAGTGTGCCTTTCTATGTATGTTGTCTCTGACTTAGGGACCCGTGAAGGTCCGGGTTAGAAATTGATCTTCAGTAACCCATGCTTATCGTACGAGGCGACTAACGGGATCGGGTGGTCAGGCTCGCTGACTTGGTTGACGCGTGTCATCGGTTCCCAATTGCGCAGATCGATGCTCATACTATGTCTACACAATGCCATCTTTAGAAAGTGGTCAAATGTACAGCTTGTTCAACTTGACCTGATCAAATGAATACTAATGCATTGCGTGACCGTGTCACAACTGGTTTGGTCTATTATTGTGAAGGGGTGCACCTTTGTCAGTTGATTGTCAACATGGTCGAACAGCCGAGACAAGTTCGCCGTTTGTCATCTCTGTGTCGAAAAATCGTCAGCAATGTCCTAACTGTCTTTAAAAATGAAGCTACAGATGGTTTAATGTTTCCGAATCGCGCTATAACGAATCCACGTGTCCATGCTTCGCACGAACGCAACATTAATTACATTTTCTGCTACCCTATTTAATGAAGTTAACTCGACAAGCCGTTTGTGCGATTTGACCTCCCGGGTCATGCATATGTAGAGTGGCTCAGGTCAAGCTGAACAAGCTGTAACATACGTTATGTTTGGAATTACACTTTCTTTGTGATGTGGAAATTCTCGTACTTTGTTGGGTTGAGTCCCATCCGGACGTGGAAGTCGCGGTGGCTGAGCTGAGGGTTTTAATCCCGGGTGGGACTCAACGCAACAAAAGTACTAGGATTAGTACTTTTCTAAGATAGTGTCATCTCAAATATAACGTGTGTTAGATGCTCATACTGTTGATCAATGAATTGTCTGGTCCAGACTCGATTATTTACAGACCGCCGCCATATAGCTGGAATATTGCTAAGTGTGGTGTAAAACTAAACTCACTCACTTGAAGGCTCGGAAAATTGATGTTTGTATCCAAATAAAGTGAATAAAAAACTATTTTTTTTATAAAAATAGTCATTATAATGTTTAATTAATACGTGACACATCGTGACATAAGACATTAAGTTGAAACAGCACTAGCAAACATCAGTTATATAGACCAAAATTAAAATGACAAATATGAAGCACTCGGTCAGTCAATATCTTGTGTACCCTCCTCGCACGTCCAAGACTCAAGTGCACCTTGTTCTCATGCTCCTAATCCTATATTGATTATACCAACTTGGGTTGTCAGTCCAGATTTGAAGAGGTTATCAAGCGACGATGTCATATTAGCCACACAAGATATACTCAGGAATATATGTTGAAGGGTGAGGATCCTCCATTTTAAATCCTGCTTGACTGCATTGATTTTTCAATCACAAGGGATGTATACTTATTTCAGTGTTAAAACTGTTAAGGATGTTTCTAACAATGTTCATTTTCATTTTAATGCCGATTTTTTCAAATAAATTGAATTGCTTGACACGTTCTGAGTCATATGTTTTGTACGTAGATGTATTTTTTATAATTGGAAGCTTAAATCAGTAACTGCTATTGGTAGTGGCCGTATCCCCAAAGGAGGTTAAAGTATTGTATCCCAAAACATTCAAAGTCAATATAATTCTATCCACTCTTTTCAACTATAGAGTATATGTCTGTATGACTTGATGTGCTGAAGGGATGGTGTAAATCCAGCTAGGGTCCATGCAGGAACAAAAAGGTAATGTAAGTCGCGGGTTCGATCCCCGACCGCGTCATACCAAAAGACGTTAAAATATGGTAACTTGTTGGTCCCTGCCTGGCGCTCGGCATTAACAAGGTACAACAAGGTACAACAAGGACTGGTCGGCTCGGAGTCAGTATAATGTGTCTGAGTGGGGTATTCATGCTTCACTGCGGTATGGTATCTCAGTGGGCTAGCACTATAAAACCAGCTTCAGTCTGGGCTAGTACAAGCAGCCGCACATACACATGCACACGCATGCACGTCGTCATATGAGCGAAATATTCTCAAGCACGACGTAAGACCCAATTTCACCTCACCTCACACCCTGCTCCCAAAGGAATTCCGTGACAATCTTGGTCCTATGAGGCTCAGCGTTGTCGTCTTGCAGTAAAGGGGGGTCGACCTTAAAACCCATGCATAGCTTGCAGGAATGGTACTGCTATAGGAGCCATAATCTCGTCCCGATAACGCTGTCCGGTAAGTTCGACTACGTGCAGTGGGGTACGTCCAGTAGGAGTTATCCCTGCCCAAATCATGACCGACCCCCGCCAAATCGGCTATGCGTGGCCACAGTTGCATATGGAATTCGCTCTGCTTTGCGACAATAAATCCTCTGCCGACCATCATGGAAGGACAAATGCAATCTGCTGTCATCTGTGAAGAGCACACGAGACCATTGACGTTGATTCCAGCGACCATGATGTCTACTCCATCGCAAACGCGACTGCCTGTGGCGTGGTGTTAGTAGTGGTGGATGAACTGCAGGTTGCCTACTTCGGAGTCCGGTTGCCCTTAAACGTCGACGAACGGTGCTCCTGGATATCTTTATATTGTTAACATTGAAGTGTTCTGTATGAAAAATATGTTACGCAACGCGGCGTTGATCATGTGCCTATCACCTCGGACTGTTGTGACTCTGGGGCGACCTGGTCGACGTGCATATTCCACGGACCCATTGGCTTGAAGTCTTTGCCACAGTCGACCAATAACACACTGACTCACATTAAAGCGGACAGCAACCTGCCGCTGTGTTTGACCAGATTCCAAAAGGAATCCTCACCCCTTTCAGCACGTGTCAAAAAACGTCTCATTTTCAGTTGCAATTTCAAACAAGTGCCTGAACAGTGAATGCCAGTGAAAAAGCATCAATGCATGTGTATTGCCCTCCACTTTCCATGGATAGAGCGACTTGCGCGTGAAGCCTCTGAAAGATAATTTTGATTGTTTACACTCGATACATTAATTATGTCATGTATCTAGCCTGTATTTAAGTCCATCAAGGAAAACTGGTTGGTTGCCTGGTCGGTTGACGCCGCACTCAGCATATTCCAGCAATATGACGGCGGTCTGTAAATAAACGTGTCTGGACCGGAGAATCCAGTGATCAACAGCATGCGCATCGCACTACACAACTAGGATACGATGAGATGTGTCGACCAATTCAGCGATCCTGACCACCCGATCCCGTAGGTCGCTATCGCCTATTACGACAAGACTGGGTTGCTGAAGACCAATTCTAGCCCACACAGACACGTGCAGGCAACTCGCTGTAAAAGTGTAATGATCTTTATCGTGATCTTAAATCACATTTCACAAAGAAATGGTGCACCTGCTGACACCCTCTGAGATATGTACTTTGTCCATACAGACCCTCAGTGCCACAGACTGCTCCAAACTCACCAGCGAGGCCAGTCAGTCGGCAGCTAACCCACACAGACACGTGCAGGCAACTCGCTGTAAAAGTGCAATGATCTTGATCGTGATCTTAAATCACATTTCACGAAGAAATGGTGCACCTGCTGACACCCTCTGAGATATCTACTTTGTCCATACAGACCCTCAGTGCCCCAGCCTGCTCCAAACTCACCAGCGAGGCCAGTCAGTCGGCAGCTTCAAAAATTATCTGCCTGTAAACAGGTAATGTCAACATTGCTTATTTCTGCTTGACGGTGAAGTGTAAAGTCACTAAAGTGCTGAACGAATGAGTTTACACGGTTCAAATAACAAGGTTTTTGATGTTGGCAAACACGACAGAGTTTTCTTTACAGATGTCGACTGCGAAACCAATGTAACACTGTTGAAATGTCATCAACTAACCAGCCTGTCCTTGCTTGTATGGTACATGAAAGTTTACACGATGCGACACATCGGCCTTCCCACTGACCTTCAAACATAGATCCTGTTTTCATTTACGAAAAACTGCGCATTTACAATACATTTTTATAGTTGACGTTGTTATTTTTTTTTTTTTTGCATACCAATTGAGTGCACCACTTGCAATGAGACTCGTGATTCGTCTATCGTCGATAAGCGTGACCTATATCTGGCGCATTTTGTGTAGCTAGCACTTGAAATATTGTCTGGGGCGATATAGTAAAGGCGAGATATACTGGAGAGTCTTCCGTTGTGAACGTGTGTCCTGTTTGAACAAGCATGTCAACCTACTTGAATACATAAACTGTTTTCGGCTAGACGTAGAAGGGCGGGTCACCTTGACACAGCATTACAGACAAAAACAAAGAGGAGAGACCTGCAGGTGAGGGATAAAGATATGGTTGGTTTCAAATACGCATCCTGATTCATATTGGAATTACTTCTTTAAAATGTGTTTGCTACAAACAACTTTTAATGTGTTTTCATTTACACTTATAATAAAAACATGCAAAACTAATATAAGAATAATTTATTTTGTTAGCTCGCGCTCTATTACGTAGATATTTTACATCAAAATACTCCTTTATCTTCAAATTATGTATCAAAATTTTAAAATTAACAAAAGACACACACAGAGAGAAATAGCGAAAAATAAGTTTGATTCTGTTAGAGGGTGAAGATTATGACAAAATGTTGTTACATAAATGAGGTCAAGTTATGATGGCATCCGATTGTAATAAGTACTTCATTAAGAGACACAACAAGTAACCAAAATGGTAGCTAAATAACCATTGCCACCTGTCACCAGTTAATAAGCATTTGTAATTTAATACACAGGTGCCACCTTGTGGCGGAACAATGAAATATAGATAAATGGCACCGGTGTTATTATATACTGAGTCAAAAAAGAAACTTCACAAAATGTAATTTGAAAAATAATGAATAATTTTTCTCTGATGATACATCTATGTATCCGAAATGGGATCCCTAGCTTTCGACTCTAGAAAAACGTTAACAAAACCCACTCAAACTCATCCATTCGTCGTGCAAATGACGTTAGTGCCAAATCAGGTTTTGCACGCGCAGTCGATCACGTGATCTTCGCATCGAAGTTTTCTTCATATGCACGTGATTGCATTGGCCTCAAGAATTGAAAAAACACTTTTAAACCACCGTTCTAACGGTACTTAAAATGCCACGATTGTCAAATGTGCAACGTGAACGTGCCGTTGGCATGTTGCAAGCGGGAAGATCAGTTATGTTTACGTCGCAAGAGCAATGGGATGTAGCCGTCATACTGTGTATGACTTGCGAGGTCGTCTACAACAAACTGGCACCACTTCTGATCGCCCAAGGTCGGGTCGTCCACGTGTGACGTCACGAGCAGAAGACCATCAAATCGTCCTACGTCACCTACGTGACAGATTTCTGCCGGCTACACGAACCAGGGCTGAGATGTTTAGAGGTCGACTGTCCTCACAGACCATTCGAAATCGGTTGCGGGCTGTCAATCTCCATTCTCGACGTCCATATCGTGGGCCAATATTGACGCCGTTTCATCAACGTCAACGTCTGCTGTGGGCCCAATGTCACCTCCGATGGACCCAGAGAGACTGGAATCGAGTCGTCTTTAGCGATGAATCCAGGTTTACCCTCAGATTCGCGGACGGAAGGCATAGACTCTGGAGACGACGTCGTGAAAGGTATGCCCAATGTTGTGTACAGGAAGTCGACAGATTCGGGGGCGGAAGTTGCATGGTGTGGGGTGATGTCTGTGGGAACAACCGTTCCCGACTTCTGGTCATCCGTGGCAACCTCACAGCTGCTGCTTACCGCGACCAGGTGCCCACCCCCAACTCGTTCCTTTCATGGCGGCTCATGGCCCAGGTCTACAGTTCCAGCATGCTCGGCCGCATACCGCGATGTTGACACGAAAATTCCTTCAAAACGCTGGAATCAACGTCATGGACTGGCCATCGAGGTCCCCTGACCTTAATCCAACAGAGCACGTTTGGGATGCACTTGGGAGAAGGCTTCATGGTTTTAGGAACCAACCTCAGAATTTGCAGGAACTTGGCGCTGCCTTGCAAGAGCAATGGCGCAGAATCCCCAACCACGTGTTCACAAGTATCAGGCAGTCGATGAGGAGACGGTGTTTGGCAGTGGTGAATGCGCGGGGCGGCCATACACGATATTGAACTGAGAAATTTCGCATTTTTATTCTTGTGACTTGACATTCTGTATACCCATGTTTTGGAACGGCGGTGTAGCCTAATGGAACTGATTATGGCACTGTCAGTGTATCGAGTACATCACACAGATCTCAGCAATGAAATAATAACAATTTGAACCATCTTACCATCTCTTGCTCTTTTATAGTGCCCTGAAGAAAGAATGTGAAGTTTCTTTTTTAACTCAGTATAGATTCGTACCTTGGAATAATTAATTCGTGGGATCTGATTGGCTAAACCAACCATTTATGTTTCGTTTATGACATGCTGATTCTCATGTTGAAAAAAACCAGTTAACCCAAGATATATTCGTAAATGGAATTGGTGTGAAGCCAAAACTAAAAAGTAAAAAATAAAAACAAAGACAGTTGCGCAGATAATAATGGCGTACACAATTAAGTGACTTAATGTTCACAAATCACTACAAAGGAATTACAATAGCAGTACAAACTGGAGTGACAACACGAACCCAGTGACGGTACAAGAAGAAAGACATTATAATATATAAGCAGTGACTATACCAATATAGAAGTTTATAAATATGACAATACTCGCATAGCTGCTACAGTGGTCAGACTTCCATAATTGGCAATATGGGGCAAAAAGGTGACATTAACACAACTTCTTGTAATATTGTAATGCGAGATGACCAAGACAAAATGTCTGTATGTCTGTTTGTCTGTCTGCATTTATGGATGGATGGATACACGCGCGCACACATGCGCAGACAGAGATAGGTTATAATACGGACTGATATGCCTTGACCTGGGGCATTTGTTTAGTTACTGCCCTAAAACAGCAATTGATTGTGATACAGTGAAGTACATTTATTACGTGAACGCTTTTGTGGTTCTAATCTCTTGCACATTGTAGTCGAAATGCGAATAACAAATAACAGCCATATATTAGTGGTCCCTTTGAATTCGTTAAACCTCTAGTTTACTATACATAGTTGTCTTCAGGCATTTGCGATAATAATTAATAACACTGATAATATTAACGACGTATTTATTTGCAAGATCCTCATGGTCACTAGTAGTGTTGGGAATTGGTTGAAATCTCACAATTGATGATAAGTATAAAGAAAAAAAACATTTGGTTCTCTGTTGTTTTTCGTTTTATTTAGAAACTTACATTTGCAAATTTCACATCCAGTGTAAAATGATTCAGTTCTAGTGTAACATAAAGATCCCAGATTCTTCAAGAAATATTCAGTCATGACTTTTCAGAAAGTGAAGTGAGTTTTCTAAGAATTAAACACGTTTTCCGGCCCTGACAACGTCCTAGATATGTTCCACCATCAAGTATTTCAAACTCTATTACAGCGGTTCCAAAATCGTTTGTGTTCGATTATGAGAAAATGTGATCGATTGCTTGGTTGTTTGGCCACTGAGACCAATCTTCGATTATTTCAATTAATCGGAACACCACTAGTCACTAGTATGGTGATCTACCTTCTGTTGGCGATCTATAGCCTGTTGTTATATTATGTATTGTCCAAATAGTACTATTAGTTTTAACTTCACATGCTAGTTTTAATTCGAACTGTCAGGGCCTAGTTGTTTTACTTTTCTTTGACGACAGGTTTTATCATATATAATCATTCTATATAAACGTCAAATTTGTTCTCGTCAAGATATGGCTGAAACATTCCGATGTGACGCTACATATAAACTCACTGACTCACTATTTGCAAACTTCAATACGCTCATGCTTATGTTACACATGAAAACCGGGATGTATATTTGTACTTCAATAAACGATGTCGATGTGTGTTCTTTTTGTGTTGGCAGTTGACTCTGGACATGGAGCTGATGGAGAACGCCCCCTACCTGGACCAGCTACTGGACTTTCTCAAGGGGAAGGAGGAATGGTTACCTAGGAGTCTCACCGGTCGGGCTGTTCTGGTGGGATCAATTGCCGGAGTAACCGTTTATCTGATCACAAAGAAGAGGTACAATTTACCGCCTGGGCCCCGAGGATTGCCGTTGCTTGGGAACCTCCTAGGTCTGTTGGTTTAGATGTATTTTATCAAATCAACTTTACCCTCACTGATAAACATGATATCACATGAAATATCCCTTGGCATACCCCGGGACTACAACGTATATCCGATACCTCTACCTCAGGAAATATACTCTTAAAAAATAGTAACGCAAAAGTGAACGTTTCCTAATAAATTTAGATATGTGGAAACCTAGCGTTACGAACGCTGAATATGTTGTGTTATGGAGCTTACAAAATGCAATTTAGTCACAATAATCGTTTGGAAATCGAAGACTTGGTATACAGATGGTTAACAGTGATTAAATTACATTTGTGACGTCATTCCATTGTCTTCTCGCCCCATAATTTTCAGGAATGGAGCGACGTGTACCAGTTTCAAATTAAAACCTTCATTTTGTGATTTTATTTTGATAACAGAAATATTCCCAATACTTTGAATGTAATTTAAGTAGGGTAATATCCTCGTAACTCTCCATCCCTTAAAATAATGTGCCTCGGCCCCTCCGGAACCTCGGCTCCATTATTTTTAAGGAATGGAGAGTTACTCGGACATTACCCTCTACAAAATCGCAAAGACGCAACTGCTGTTTTGAACCACTTTCGCAAAGGCATGGTATGCAAGTGCAAAAGGCACAAAAAGCTCTATGAAGGTGCAGAGTTCTCGATGTCGCTTCACCTCGGTTAAAGCTCTCAGCACAGATTTCATAATGTCAGACTGAACGAAGCTCAGAGGAACAGCGCCATCGGACAATTGCAAAGAGGAGAGTCCAGATCAGAGGTTGCGAGTTTTGAAATGTCTCCTCTGGCACCATATCGAGGCTATGGAACCGCTACCAGCAGCAGGGATCAACACGTGGCCTGCATGCTTGACTGGATAAAAGATTTCTTGAGGGATCGAACTATACAAGTTCGCATTGGAACTTCTCTGTCGGATGTATACATGTTAGAGAATGGAACACCTCAAGGTAGTGTTATCAGCCCAACCTTATTTAATGTTATGATTAATGACCTGTTTGAGAATATCAGTAAAATGGTCGAAACATCACAGTTTGCAGATGATGGAGCGTTGTGGAAACGGTCCAGTAATTTTGACACTGTCTTTAACGGCATTCAACAATCTCTTCATCTTGTACAGACTTGGTGTGTCCATTGGGGTTTTAAGATTTCAGCTTCTAAATCGTCTGCAATCATTTTACTCGGAAGAAGATTCCACATAATTCAAAATTGGTTTTGTGCGGTTCTCCTTTGGAGTTTGTGGATAAAGTCAAGTTTTTGGGACTCTGGTTTGATAAGAGGCTTACTTGGAAACCTCATATAGACTATTTGATTCAGAAATGCACTAAAGTCCTGAACCTTCTGAGAAGTATTTCCAGTACCAAATGGGGTGCAGACAGGACGTGTTTGTTACTGTTGTATCGTGCCCTCATTAGATCACGACTTGATTTCGGCTGTCAAGCCTATGGATCTGCATGTGCTACACAAAAGGCAAGACTAGCTGTTGTTCAGTCAAAAGCCCTACGAATATGCCTTGGAGCATTTAGAACTACCCCTGTTGAGGCTCTCCATGTTGAATCTGGTGAACTGCCTTAAGATCTCAGACGTCAACTGTTAGAAGTTCGGTACATGCTTAAATTGAAATCTTTTGGAATGAAACACCCTACTTCAGCTGTATTGGGAGATTGTGTTGAGTATTTCCTAGATCCTTGGAAAGACGGTATGGGGCCTTATGGGATGCGTTCTCAGAGAACTGCTTTCCATCATAATGTCCGTGATGTTGCCATAGCTGATGTTAGTGTTCTGCCAAAGAAGCCACCATGGTTGCTTGACCTTCCATCAGTTTATCTTGACGTTCTGGAACAAGCAAATAAATCTGATCCGGCGCCTCTTGTTAAAGCTCTTGCCGAGGAACATATCCGAAGTTTACAGTGGATCAATGCAATGCAGATTTACACTGATGGATCTAAGTGCTCAGTGTCCGGTCGTGTTGGTGCAGGTATCTTCATAGCCACTGATAAAAGAGAAATATCTCTACGATTAGCTGATCACTTATCTGTATTCTCTGCTGAACTTGCAGCAATCATTGAAGCTTTGCGGTGGATTCATTTTTTTTAGACCTGTATCAGCGGTCATTTTCAGTGATTCTGTCAGTTCTTTACAAGCAATCCAGACAGGTGCCTCCTCAGCAAGACAAGACTTGATCAATATTATCCTTGATCTTTCTAATGAATTAAGTAAAGACCTGTTAGATGTTGAGTTTTCATGGATACGAGCTCATGTTGGAATCTTTGGAAATGAAAAAGCTGATCATTTGGCAAAAGCTGCATTAGATTTTGATGTCTCAGAACAGGATGAGATAATATTGCCCTCTCCTGCAGAATTGTGCACCGTCAGTAAGACCCATGCGCAAGCGAAATGGCAACAGAGATGGACCTCATCCTTAAAAGGACGCCATCTTTATGGCATTGAGCCTTATATAGCTAAAGCAAAATTATATAGAAACAATCGTAGAGAAGAGGTTCTTTTATCCAGACTTCGTCTTGGGCATTGTGGTCTTGGTGCATATCTAAACATTATTAATAATGATATTCCTGCAAATTGCACAGTGTGTAATCAGCTAGATGATGTTGCTCATTTTTTTACTGCATTGTCAAAAATATGTAACTCATCATAAGGCGATGGTGGGATCTTTGACAGCGCTTAATATTGACCTCTCCTTGACTGGATTGTTGTGTAATATCACTCGCAATGATGTTAAGAATGTCATTCTTGCTTACATTAAAGCTTGTGGCAGCTTTACTACTTTGTAAACATGTATAAACGAAGCAAACCTTTATGATGGGCAAGGTGTAAATGGGCCCAGTTGCCCGAACACCTATCAAACTTTCAATTATCCATCCATCCAACACGTGGCCTTCCCAGATGCGGTGGACCACTTGTCACCACTCCTGCCCAAGACCGCTACATCCGGTTGCGCCACCTACGCAAAAGAACGACAACTGCTGCTTCTACTGCATCCTCAGTATCTGGACTGCGCAGAATCTCGGACCAGACTGTCCGGAACTGTCTACGAGAGGCAGGGTTGCGACCAAGACGTCCTGTTAGAGACGAGATTTTGTCCAGGCAGCATCGCCAGCTACGACTGGTGTCGAGCGCATAGGGTATGGGCTTAGGGACGATGGAGACACGTATGGTTCAGCCATGAATCCCGATTCATGCTCTGCAGGCAGGAAGTGGACAGATTTGGTGGCGATGATGTCATGATGTGGGCAGATATCTTGGTGCACATCAGGGGGAACTTAACAGCACAGCGTAAATGTCTATGAGATCTTGCGTCAGCACGTCGTCCTCACCATGGCCCACGTCAACGCTGATTTCCAGCAGGACAATGCCCGTCCTCAAACAGCAAGCATCACCGCAGCCTTCCTAGCAAACAACAACATCAACGTTCTGCCATAGCCTTCCAGATCCCCAAATTAAAACCCAACTGAGCATCTTTGAAATAAATTGGATAGACGTCTGCGACGGCGACAACAACAACTACAACAGCTGTATGCCGCTTTGACGGCTGAGTGGGCTACAATTCCCCAGGCTGTCATCCGTCCATGGGCAGGCGGTGCCAGGTGCTCAGAGGAGTCACACGTTACTAACTGTACGTGACGTCAGTGTGACCTTGGGACATTCGATGACTGTCGCTAAAGCCTCGGTTGATGCTTTCATTTTTAGTTCATGTAGTAAATGTCTTTGAAACATCCAATGAAAAAAATTGCTTTGCACTACTTTCTTGAAGAGTATATATTTACAATGTATTCATTTGATCACGGTTACAATTCTCACGGTCTCAGTATTCTTTTCAAAAGGCTGTAGGAAACATGAACGATCCATTTCCAAATTCGACGCAGAAGTGGCAAAAGTGATGTCCCGTGGGATTCCTTATTGATTTGTACCATGTGTTCCCGTGTTTATTTCAAGTGGACAGTTTACTTGCCGTTGTGTGTGTGCTTGTGAGTGCCAGCAGTGAAGTACATTACACTCAAATTTTCTCAACCATCATAAGGGATAACTATTTCAATGTAAAAACTGTTAAGGATCTATTTACAAATGTTCATTTTCATTTAATGATTGTTTTTTAAAAGAAATTGATTTGATTGATTCATTTTGATTGATATGTTGTACAGATAGATGCATTTTATAATTGGTATAGTTTAAATTAGCAACTGAGATTGTTAGTGACTGTATTCTCAAGGGGATTAAATTACTGTAAGAGTAATTCTGAGAGGGTACGTAAGTCCCAGAAATTCAAGATAAATTTATTCTTACCACCTTTTTAGTCGTAGAATATCTGTCATTTCTAATGTACGCCTAGATTTGACTGAATTGCTAACAGCTGAAAGGATGGTGTAAATCCAGCTAGGGTCCAAGCAAGAAGCATATGTACTGTAAGTACCCATGGTCCTTAGTATGGTGATCTACCTTCAGTTGTTGGCAATATATAGCCTGTTTTTATATTGTTTTGTCTTCTATAGTTAAAGGTTTTTTGTTTTTCATACTAGTTTTATATCTATATCTGTGATCCTCTAGTTATTTTACTGTCCTTCGTTGACAGGGTTTTATTATTTTACTTTATTTATTACGGCTTTATTTTCAAATCCTCATCACGATATGACTGCAATATTGCCTATGTGACGTTAAATTTTAACTCACTCACATTTTATCAAACTTCAGGTGGCCTAACTGACGGTGATTTAAAAAAACACGTGCTCATTAATCATTTGGAATTGTTCAACTGACTCGCTTTGGCAGATAGTCCGTATGATTAAGGATTTCGTGTTGACATTTATAAACTATGTGCATTAACAGCCATAAATGTCAATCTCATGAATGTTTACGCACATGTGAACGCATGTCTGAATCAGCTGTAACACGTATCTTGTTCCCGCGACAGCAGCTACTGTACACAATGTTGGAAGAAATATCATACAGACATGTGAGTTTTCTGTAATGTGAAATTATGCTTACACTCAGTTTATGAAACACAGTTGCTAATGCACATGCGCCAACGTAGGAACCAACATCACATACATTGGTAGGGATAGAAATTGTCCCTTTGAAAACAAGGTTTAAAAAGAAGTCATTTTAACTTCAGAGTTCCGGAACGCAAGTATCTACGAGAAGTTGACGGAGTGGAGGGCTAAGTATGGTCCAGTTGTGAAGTTTAATATCGGTGTGTAAACAGTCACAAGTCACGGATATTTTTTAGCACTGGAAACGGTTTCAAAAGCTTTTTGTTCAGAGTAAAATATATCCATGTCATCACCACATTTACCCTTGTCGCATTTGCAACTACAATTTTGTTTTGTGAGTGATTAGATAGCGAAATGACGATGGTGAAGTCCCCTGTGTGAACCTATGTAACTGGGTCAAGAGGGTTCAAGTGTACAGAATAGATATACACAAAGAACTTAATAAAGCACCCCATGTATTTTTGCAATGATAGGTTTTCAACACGTACATAAAACATCATGAGTTTTTCTGACCCGTTTGATCCTTTGGCTCATAAAAAAGGCCAAAATGAATGGAATCCATGTTGATTTTATGATGATAATTCCACATTCATAAAAAACCATGTCTGTACAGGTATGGCCCTGGGATGTTTAATATTGAATTTATTGGTGAAAGTGAACATTCAAAATGTCATTTTGTGTGTCCTGCACGATTCAGTGTCAATACCGAGTGTAACCTACATGTGACTGTATGACAGCCAACACTCTCCTCCTCATACCCCCTGTCAGTCTCCTGGCCCTCTGAAGGGGCAGTCTACGCCATTCTACGTGTAAAGCGGCTTCCAACTGGGCCAGGTTCTGTACAGGAGGATCCCTTTGTTGCACACGAAGACCAATCATGTCCTAGATATGGTCCAAAGGGTTGCGATCGGCGCTCATTCAATCGTGAGATATGTCAGGGGGTGCTTAATTAACTTCTTTGTGTATATACACTGGGTGTATTATACTGGAGAATTCCAAGCTGAAGTGACAGCAGAAGTATTTGTAATAAAGAATGCAACTCGTAAAGTCTTAGCAAAATTCATTGTCTTCAAATCAATATTCAATTATTTGAAACAAATTGTGTTGCTGTGTTGAAAATAGATCATTCCCTTGACTCACAATATTCGTTTGAGGGAACCTCTTAAGTTCTTCATTGATCCGGGTTACAATTGGTCTTCAGCAACCTATACTTGTCGTAAGAGGCGATATATTATGTCCATTTTGTACAAACGAAATAGAAGATGGGTACCACGTAATCCAATTTGTCCAAAATATCGAGATATACGCAAACAATATTTGAATACTATTCTTCGAAATTGTGAGTATGTTTAAGCTTATCATATTGTGAAATGTGAAAACAGTTTTGAAGTATTTAACACTGCGAAGTGTATTGCTTATATCTTAAATGAAAGAAAAAAAAAGTTGATTTTTTGTGAAACGTTTACACATGTCCTTACTCTTGGACAATGATAATAATAATAGTAATATGATTGTTGTCTATATGTGTACCTCGCCATGTGCACAGGCACATATTCCTTTGAGCTAAATTGTATTGGTCTTTGACCTAATACAAATCTTGAATTGTATTGTCTTGATGAATATTTCTCGTCACAGGACACATTACAATTGTGGGACTGAACCGCATAGACGTCGTCATGGAGGCCATGGTTAAAAGACAGGCAGACTTTGCTGGGCGGATTCAGTTGTATTCCAGTAAATATGAGAAGATAATTTCACCACAATTTCATCCACAGCGATAGCACCAGACACGATTTTGTTCATTTTAGTATAATGCTATAATCATTCTATAAACTGCTTTAGTGACCTGTACATCTCGAAGTGATTGGCATATGGCTTCATGAAGTAACGTATGTACAGTTTGTATATTCAACTGAACAAGAACAGTTCGTACAAAAAGACGATTTAAGAAAAAGGAATAAAAGACTATTGATTTCAACCATTGATGATATACACGTATGATTCATGCCATTCAATTATGAAATATAAGCAAACTATGGCAAATAAACTAAATGTACTCACGCTTGCACAAATACGATGTTTCTCCGTAGCACTACTCCTCAGTGATGGAGGGAGGAATATCGTCTTAGGCGACTACAGTCCTACATGGAAACTGCACAGAAAGTTGGCAACAAAAGCACTGAGGTGAGCACGAAAGTGAGTGAGTGAGTTAAAAATTAAGTCACATCGGCAATATTTCAGCCAAAACAAATGTCATCGAAGGACAGTAAAACCGACTAGAATATCACAGTATCAAGAAATAAAACTAGCATCTCTCTCTAAAATTGGATTTTAAATTTGGACGATGCAGTATAGATCGCCAACAACTGAAGGTAGATCCACCTACCAGGGACCATGAGGACTTATAGTGCTTTTCCTACCTGCATGGATGAGCACGAAAGACTTTGATGAAGTGCATCAAATATGTCCCGCCCAGTTATCTAACATAAAACATAGGTGAAAGCAAAGCAATGAAACTATGTGTTAAAACATCGAGTACATGAAATGTCATGATTCATACATTATAAACAGTTGTGAATGAAATCACTGAATAATGGTATTGTTGATAATAGAAGCTGGTTACAGAATTGCATGGAAGGTAATATGAAAATAGAAAATAAATTGGGAATCAAGTGGTTAAAACTCTGAACGTGTGACTGGGATGTTGAAATTAAGTGACATCACTAAACTTGACTGATTTCGAAGAAGTTAACCCGTCATGGTCCGGTTCAGAATATTGATAACCAGTAACCCATGCTTGTCGTAAGAGGCGACTAACGGGATCGGGTGGTCGGGCTCGCTGACTTGGTTAACACATGTCATCGGTTCCCAATTGCGTGGATCGATGCTTATGATGTTGATAACGGGATTGTCTGGTCCAGACTCGATTATTACAGACCACCGCCATGTAGCTGGAATATTGCTGAGTGCAGCGTAAAACAATAAAAGCTGGTTACAGAAATGCATTGAAGGTAATATGAAAATACAAAACAAAATCTGGGGTGATTTTAACTGTGAACGTGTCCCTGGAATGCTAGCAATTAAGTGTGTTTTTTATTTCCCTTTGCATAAGTTGATAGCAAGAAAGCACTGTGGCATAAGAAATACTAGTTTAATAATGTGATTTACAAGTTTTAAGCAAACATGGAAACACAAGATACAATAGGTGAGTTAACATAGGGTTTAACGCCGTACTTTAGCTCATATGACAACGTGCATACGTGTGTATGTGTGGCTGCTTGTACTAGTCCAGAATTAAGCTGGTTTTATAGACACCACGCCGCGCGCAGTTAAGCATGAATTTTGTGATAATCTAGTAATTTTACTGTCCTTCGGTGACAGGGTTTTATATATTATATGTATGTATTATGAATTGAGAACTAGTTTTAGTCACGATATGGCTGAAATATTGCCAATGTGACTTTAAATTTTAACTCACTCATTCAATGTTGACTCTTCTTCCGTTATTAAACTGGAGTGAATACAGCCAACAATATGATCGATGAAAGTCGAAATTGATAACAAGCTTTGTAATGAACGGGCGCGTGATGAATGTAACAGGATACATACCATTTTTATTTCATCATAGGACATCGGAAATGCATAACAGGAAGACACAACAACAATCAAAGGGTCACTTAGCAAGTCGAAAATGATGTATTTGTTCGTTTGTGTCCTTTTCAATATTTCAGTGTGCCAGCCTGGTCGCGTGGCGAAGTATTTTGACGATCTTAGTCAGCTGCTGGATCTTAAAATATATCTGCCTGGATACCATATGATGCAGTGCAACAGTAGTCTGCAAAAAAGGGCAATATAATGGGGGCGCGGTGGGCGATGTGATCAAGCGAGCTTGAGGTGACCGGATCGAGCCCACCTGTGACCGGGTGTAAAAAACCTTGGAGTCAACTTGTGTGCAGACTCTTTCAGGGTTGTCACAACCCCTAGTGTACAGTACATAACCCTATGCTCTTAAAAGAACCCACGAATCCGTTGGTAAATGACCAGATGGTGGCCACATGAATACATGCAAACACCTAGTTGCGGGTACAGCAACGTGCAGTAACTAGGACAAAGTACTGTGGCTATGTTTCTCAGTTCACCCAGCTGTGAATGGGTACCTCGTAAGGATGGGAAAGCAACATTTACTCGGTGCGCCTAGTGGCTGCAATAGTTGTATGCTTGAATAACATGCTCTGATTCTGTTTTCTGTTCTCTCTCATTGTACAGACACTACATGACGGGAACCACCTCGACGAGGGAATAGAGCGCTCACTGACCAAAGGCATCGCGAAGATAAAGGAGATGAGGGGCCCTTCAATCCTCATGACGTCGTCTCCCTAATCGTGTTCAACATCATCAACAACATCTGCTTTAATTTCACGTAAGTAGAACGGTACCCGGTGTTCTACGATGGGTACTCGAAGGTAATAATATTATTGAAACATACGTGAAAGATCAAAACCGACTTGAAGGTTTTGTTTGAAAAAGTAAGAGGGGAAGTTGAAAGGGCCGATAGAACCAGGTTTTGATCCTACCTATAATAGCAATGACATGAACAATTGAAATTAAAGCATTTCGTTGGCAAGAAAAACAAGGCATCAATTGTCTATACTGTTGAAATCAACTGGGATGCGACTGGCAGTCGATACCTTGCCTTGCACGCGCTACCTGCAGCTGTGTCTTGCACGTGCGCTGCACGGACTGCCTGTCTTGTGAAGAACACATGGTTCATACTGACGAGCAATCCTAACTTTCACAGCGATCCTTAGTAGCCTAGTGCATAAAATTACCAAGCTAGTAAACGAATGGTTGGAGGTTTGAAACCCGGCAACGACACACTAAAGTGAATGTTCTCAATATTGTGATATTTTACGATCGCATCAATGACAAGACAAAGTTAAATCAATCTTCAAACCATGTACAAGTAAAATACTTCAAACTCAATGGCTATTCCTTAATAAATCCTTGGAAATTCGCAGGGAATGCCTGGGAAACTGACTGCTGAGGTTTGTCCTGTAAATGAAGAACCCAACTGAAAAAAAGTCACGTCACTAGAGGTTTATAAATTAACTTATATCATTAGGGGCTTATTGTGTCACATCACGCGCATACCAGTACTTCATAATAAGGGCTTATCCAGCCACATTACTCTGATACCTCACGACATTTTCACTTGTGGTCTTAACCGTAACCATTCCTTCAGATGTGAGATTAGAGACAACTACTTCAAAGACATGCTGCACATTTTGGATACGTTTCTGGAGGACTTCGGCAACGGCTTTCTTGAGGACATAATTCCACCTCTCCGTCTCTTCCCTACCAAGAAGGTTACAACTATAATGAAAGAAATTCATAAGTTCTTTGGCATATTGGCTGAAGAAATTGACAAACATCGACAGACTATACGTAAAGGTGAATACTCAGACTGCTTTTTCGCTAAAGAATCCTTCTGATAACGTGATAGTCTCCCACAATATTAAATCGATGATTTTATATTACATGAGTGTAGGTTCAATGTTAATAATGACAACCGTCATATTTCTACCATTTCTAAATAATAGTATACTTTAATATTTGTCTATGCCATTGTTAAAGAGTTCAAAAACCGCGAGTGTGATAAGGATTGCATTCAAGAAAGTTTGAGCTTTAACAGAATATAAACAAAACGAAAACAAGCCCAGAACCCATTTCTGTACAAGTTTGGGTTTGGTCGCAGACACATACCCAGATCGCAGATTATTGTTTGGTTTATCCACTTGAATTAGTTAGTTTAGAAGTATTTGACTGTTGTTCAGTATATTACAATTGTGATGTCACGCACTGACATCTGAGGTTTGATGTAAGCTTCACTAGAGTTGCTTCCCTTAGTTTGAGGTTGATTACCTCCCTTTTGCCAGCCATGTTGTACCATGCGCTCATCAGCGACAAGTGTCGTTCTCAAGTTTGGAAGTGTTTTCTTTGCATTAAGCCTCGCACCAAGACGTAAGTTGATTTACAGTGTTACAGGATTCATTCCTCGTGTTCTTGTGATAATTATTCCATGGTATCTTCTGTATTTTATACATTTTGAAGAAACATGCATCTCCGTAATTTGTGAGGCTCTACATAGGTAGGGTAATGCTACGCAGTAAAAACGTACATCTGTGTACTTTCGTGAGGCTCTATACAAGTGGGCTTGACATTCGTATTATATATTTTATGAAACAACTTAGAACTGTGATGGCATTTTGATATCGCAAAAATGTTTTAATTGAACCAGTAAATTAGGCTCAATGTCTGGTATTGGTGTTGTTTACACAATTTAGTATAATTTAGCTAAAGGTGTGATTACACTCATCCAATGTACAGGAATATCACACTTATAATTCCTTTGTTATTTTACAGCTTTTACCACGTCACACGTGATTGACCTCATCATGCTTAGTCTTCATGATCGTACTTTTGGTACAAATAAAGGCAGTCAAGGTTAAACTAGCTGTTGAAGACTCTTCTTTATAGTTGGAGAACAGCATAGTAAAAGGTCTTGAATAGGAAAATGCAAAAGAATCCACGTCAGAGAAAAATGACTGAAAAGGGGCAAGAATATTATGAAGCTGAAGTTTGCAATTACTACAGGAAGTTTTCCTCAATAAAGAAAAACATTGAAAAGCGTTTCATTGAAGCTGAGAATGCTCAACGAGAAAATGACTTTGAATTATTATGGGAACTGAAAGACAAAATAGAAGGAGACTTGGATACTTACCTTTCTGTTTCTAGAACATTTGTAGACTATCTCAAGAGATGTGCAACACGAGAAAGTTCACTAGAACTCTCATCTCACATCATGATTTCCGATGATCTTGCTAATAGAGTTAATGATACCGTGAACAGTTTCAAGTTCATAAAAACTGAACATGTTGAAGTTATTGATGATGTACATGTGTCGTCCAAAACTGAAGAAGCTTCCGTTTGTTCTGGAAGGAGCAGACACTCACGAAGTTCAAGTCGTTGTTCAACCAGCTCAAGTGTTCTTCTCGCTAAGAGTAAGGCTAAGGCAGAAGGTGCTCGAACTCGTTTACAGTTTGCTGAAAGGGAATTTCAGTTGAAATTGAAACAAGCAGAATGTGTGGCAGACTTAGAGTTACTTACACACAAGAAAGAGCTTGCTGTAGCAGAGGCAGAGCTTTCAGTGGTACAAGAGGAGATTGGGGAGCAAACGTTTGTCAAAGATCGTAACGTCACTACGGTTACGGAGAAAATAATTCCTACTGAGCCAAGCCATACAATTCTAGATGAAAACCAACAGTCATTCAGTGGAAATCATATTCCTCCAGGACATGTGAACCATGAAACAGGTAGATCTAGGAGCTTGGACCGTGACCTCTCATTCAATGTAAATGCTCGAATTCGTCCCAGTTCGACAACATCCGATGCCAACACAAGCTTCAGATCTCACAAGTTACCTTTTAAAAGGGATCTTCTCAATCTCAGATTAACTAAATTCAGCGACAATCCTGCTGAATACCAAATGGAAAACAGGGTTTAGGAACATAGGAAGTGAACTGAACTTGTCTCCATCAGAAGAAATGGAACTCTCGTTAGGTGGTTAGGTGTAGAATCTGGAAGGTATGCAAGTAGTAGTATACGATCGTCCAACCCTCATGATCAAGTCAAAGGACTCAAGCGATTATGGGCACGACTGGATGAGCGCTACGGCAGTCCTGAAGCCGTCGAAGCCACGGTCAAGAAGAAATTGTTCAAGTTTGAAAGGGTCACAAGCAAAGACTATCAGAAACTGTATGATTTGTGTGACATCTTATGTGAAATAGAGTCCCTAAAAGAAGATGAACACTTCAAGAATGTATTTGCTTATTTCGATTCATCAATGGGAATCAACCCCATATTGCAGAAGTTACCACTCTTCATTCAAGGCAAATGGACTGACAGGGCCTCACAACACAAGAGACAGAACAAGGTTACGTTTCCTCCTTTTACCTATTTTGTGAAATTTATTCAGGACATAACTTCCACCTTGAACGATCCAAGTTTCAAGTTTGAGTTTCAGGATAAAGTTTTTCCCCAGAAAGATTTCAGGTTCAAAACTCAAGTGTCAGTGAAAAAAGACAGATGTTGAACAAAATGGAAATCCCTCTCTCTCCAACAAGCACGGCCACAAGCCAAGGATGTACCATATTGTCCCATTCATAAGGCGCATCACACACTGGGAAAGTGTCGCACCTTCAGGGCTTTTCCGTATGATGAAAAGAAACAGTTTCTTAGCAAGCACCGCCTGTGCTTCAGGTGTTGTGAATCGGACAAACATTTAGCAAACAACTGTACCCAGTTTATAAGGTGTGATGAATGTAACAGTGATAAACATTGCACTTCGATGCATGTTTCCTGCTCCTTGCGTGAAAAGACCTCTCAAGGTACGGATTCTCACGGCGGGGAGACACAGGTGAAGGTTGCCTCCAAATGCTCACAAGTTTGTGGTGGCAGATTTCAGGGGAAATCTTGCGCAAAAACAATATTGGCTAAAATCTACCCTCAAGGGCATAAGATGAATCCCATCCATGCTTATGTGATCATTGATGACCAAAGTAATAGAACTCTAGCAAAGCCAGAGTTATTGGACAGGTTAGATGTGACATCTCAGACTCTAGCATATCTTTTATCTTCGTGCAATGGAAGCACTACAACTTATGGAAGACAAGCTTCAGGATTGGTGATAGAGTCCATGGATTGTATGACAAGCTTTCAACTTCCTCCTGTTCTGGAATGTAAGCATATTCCAGACGTAAAAGACGAGATACCGTCACCAGATGTCGTCGCACATCATTCTCATCTTGAACATCTCACAGGCTTCTTCCTTCCAGTAAACAAGGATGTTCCCATTCTTCTCCTCATAGGAAGAGACCTCCCAGAAGCCCATCATGTCCTCGAACAGTGCACAGGACCATGGGGCTCTCCTTTTGCTCAGCGTCTTCCTTTGGGATGGGTTGTTATAGGCGATGTCTGTTTGGGACAGACACATTCGCCTCAGACCGTAACTGTGAATAAGACATCGGTACTGACCAATGGACGTCCGTCATATTTGGAATCATGTCCAAATAACTTCAAAGTAGAGAAAGAGGTAATTGAAGATGATATCTTCACTCAAGACACTATTGGTGACACAGTGTTTGAAAGAACCAAGGATGACAATAAGATTGGACAGTCAATAGAAGACCGTCTGTTCCTTGAAATGATGGATGCTGAAATGAAAAAGGGTAACAATGGAAACTGGACAGCTCCATTACCGTT